ATATATATGTATAAAAAGCTCCCTGATCAAGTCGTGGGGTCAAGATCATAAAACTAATAAAGGTCTGAGGTGGGGAGAAAACAGAAGAATGCACTGCAGCTGTGCTCCTCTTTCTCCGTGTGTGATGGTTTACTGCACTCACCTCTCCTTCTGGCTGCTGAAGAATGTCTCCTGGCCTCTTTGCCAGATACCAGGGGGTGTTATCAGTCCTGCCTTGCTCTTTCCACAGTAATGAGCCCCAAGACGTAGTATTATCTGTTTACGATAAGGATATTAATAACACTGCACTTCAGTTATGCTTTGGGCTCTTTTGCAGGGTGTATTTGTTAAGAGGTCTTTTAAAGCAGGACAAGATTTAGCCAGAATTGGGGTAATAAAATCAGCTATTGTTGTATTTGTTTTGTTCCTTTAAGTAGACACTCTTTCAGAAAGTCTTTAGATCTTCATTTATAATGTTCCATGTAAAAGTATACATCATAAACATGATGTATACATGATGTTATTAATTTTGGTATTTTGATTCAGTTTATATTTCCAGTTTACAATTATTATTTGGAAACAAGAACTGAGTACACAGCCATCAAAATACTTATTTCTAATACATGCAGGGTCAAAAAGTATAAATACATGATTTAGTTATATGCATATATCCTCCATTATTAATGGGGGCGGTAAGAAAAATAGCAACTTTTATTTGCAGAATTTTGTGTATGCAGTTATTATTTTTCCTTTTAAGCTTTGTTCACAGGTTTAATATCAGGACTTTGAGGAGAGCCTTTAATGCCAGCTACTTTATTAAATTGGGTGTCTAATACATCCTTACAAGGCAAACATAAAACTAACATTTATCCTAATAATGAATGTACTCATTTCTGACAACTTGATTTTACTTTGTTTAAACAATAATAACTTTACTAGGGCATGAACAGTCAAACTGAATAGCTGCAGATGTTGAAGCTTCTTAATCCCGATAAGGCACAGGCAGGGACAAACTTCTCTAGATCTTGTCTGTTTAATACCTTTACACAACATTGCTGCTGTGCTGCTGTGTTAGATGCTTTATAAATTTGATGTTGTATTTTTTCATGGTTGAAAGCTTTCTGCTGTTGGTGCAAAGTTTATGAAAAGGACAGTAATGATTTTTGTAGCTTTGACAGAGACAGCCTAAGAATAATGACACAACCCAGCTTTTTGGTAGAAGCTGACTGTACCTGACAACACCTTCATCTATTACACATCATTGTGTCTTTGTGTAGCTAGAACCCAAAAATAAAAATTTTGTAAGATTCCACACATCTTCAGTTATAAGATCTGATTTGATTTCTTTTTTTTTGGGGGGGGTAATCAAATCCTCTACAACAAGTTAAAGTACTATAATACAAATATGATAAAGGCTGGTTATAAGTTTAGGAATAAAAAGAAAAGATACAAGGTCAGAAGCAGAATACGAGGACATAAGCTCAAGAGTTCATAGTTTAAACTCACCCTTTGTCCACCTCAAGGTGATAGTCTTTGTTTTCAAGAACAATGGCTCTATTGGGAGATATGATATAGAAAGGAAAGGTTGTGGGTTCAAAAGTACCAGATGTCATGGTCAGATGAGAGGTCAAACCATTGCCTCTTTCTTCCTGTAATGCTGTTTCCTTTTTCGCTCTCTCTCCAGTGTCTGTATGGCTGCTACGTCCACTCCTCTATCATCCCCACATTCCACCGCAGGTGCTACTGGCTGCTCCAGGTAAGGACCCCTCTTTTTGTCCTCAACGGCTCACTCTGTTTTATTTAACTCCCAAACTCTCCTTTCCATCCACTAAAACCTGAATGAGTCACCGGATATCAGTTTCTATTAAGCCCAAGCGTTTACCTTTGACAGCCAGCAGGCAGACATCAACTTATTCCTCCTCCACCTCCCTCTTTCTTCCTTTCCTTTTCCCTCCCTGGCTTCCATTTCCCTTATCTTTCCCAGTCATTCACTTTTCTGATGGCATTGCCCATACAAGCCGTCCAGCAGGACGCTATCTCAGTCTGCTAAAAGCTCTGCCATCTCCCCTGCCTAACAGCTGCAGTGATGGGCAGTAAAAGCCTGATGGAAGAGCTTTCCCTGTACAGTACGGTGCGTTCCGTTGGTCGTCAAGTCTGCAGCCTGAAAGTGGTTGTAAATAGCAATCCTTTGATCCCCCCCCAATACATCTCGTCATTCTCCTTTAGCATAGCAATCATTACAGTTAGGGAGTGTATGATAGAGCCACTGACACACAGTTTTAAGATTGTAAGCACACGCACCAAGAATAAGGGCTTATGAGGTCTTACTAACTTTAGATAACTTGCATAATTGTTCAAACTCCTTCAAACTCATTTTTTGGCATTAAAGTCAACTCGCTTTTAGTCTTATTGGGACGTTATGTGATGGACAAGCAAATGGGCTGCACATTGCACTGAATGGCAGTCATTATCACAATACCAGTGTGTACAAAGTCACAACAGAAACCCATTGCTTGAACGCAAAATGTTGTAGAGTATTATATTTCAAACACTAAAAAGTCAAGTTTCTACATGTTAGTAATTTTTTTGGTAGCTGGATTCACTGTTCCTTGAAACAAAACATAAGCAACATGTTCAGTCACTAATATACTACAAAATGTTTCACAAATGTATGCTTTCTCTTCCAGTTCACAGCTTTGCATCACATTAGCTCCGTCTTTCTAAACAAAATTTCTTTGGTTGTTATGTCAAAAGGTCAACCTGTCTGAATACTTCTGAAAAGTTTACACACTTATAGTCTAGTAACAGATCCTACAGAGGGCTAGATAAAGAAACACCCTTATTCATGGGATTGAGATAAATGTTCTGGATAAAGAATTGCTGGAAAAATAATGAATTTCAATATATTTGTTTCAGCAATTCATAAAAGATTCAGAGTACCAAGGGAAACTGCAAAACACAAGGGAGAAGACAAAAAAGCCTCCCAACAATGCTGAATAGTAGTGATTTTCTTGCCTTAGGGCAGCACTGCTTTAAAAAGGGACCTGATTTGTTGTGGAAATTATTGCACTGGATTAGAAACACAAGTTTTCACAGAAAAACGATTAGTCCCCACATTTACAAAATGCAAGGTAAGGCCACCATTTAGACTAAGTGAAGGGCATTTAATCGAAATATTATAATAGTATTTAAGTTATCTTAAAACAAAAACACACTTTTCCTTACATAGAGATTTTGTTGTAATTGGTGTTGTTTTCAGGTAGCTACAATAAGTGTTAGGCATGATTTACATTGATAAAATAAAAGGAAATATAAAATGCATCAATTTGTTTCAAATTTGTGTTAAATTAACTGTTTTCATTTTTTTAACTGATTGGATATAATATTACTTTAAGGAAAAATTATAACACAAAGAATCTACATTATCCCTAAAAAATTATATATTTTTTCTCTTTTATGTCCTGTGTGTTCCCCTATCAAGCATTTGTATTTCAGTATGCAAATCTAATTATGTTGTTTTTTTTTCTTTCTCTTTTGTGCATCCACTTGATTATAATTTTATTATATCAAAAAGTAATAAAGTTTTATTTATTGGACGGTGTGTTTAGAGTTATTAAGAAATGTTTCAAAGAAAAATCTTTTTTATTCTTTTAAATCTCTGTCTTCTTCCAGTCATGTCTTTGCCCCATACATTTGAATAGTATGTACTTTGATGTAGCATCTGTAACCCTTGAAATGTTTAAAATTTTTTCAAATTACAGCTTTAAACTCTAATGTTTGTAATGGTATTGGATTTTACAGATGCATTTCACTGAGACTGAATTACAGACAATCATTTGTTTACACCAAGGGCAAAAAGTTTGGTAGGATTTAATTCAGGAGTGTCCGAGAGTGACCGGGGCTAAAAGTAAATTGATGTCCAAGCTTTTAGGTTGTGCATAAACAATTACTTCTTGATTATTTGGTTTGTATTGGTATAGCTCAAGAAATACCATTGAGACAATTGTTACAATTTTATTAAGTGTAAGTGCAAGTTAGTTCAAGGGACATACACTCACCGGCCACTTTATTAGGTACCCAATGCTAGTAACGGGTTGGACCTTCTTTTGCCTTCAGAACTGCCTCAATTCTTCCTGGCATAGATTCAACAAGGTGCTGGAAGCATTCCTCAGGGAGTTTGGTCCATATTGACATGATGGCATCACACAGTTGCCACAGATTTGTCGGCTGCACATCCATGATGCGAATCTCCCGTTCCACCACATCCCAAAGATGCTCTATTGGATTGAGATCTGGTGACTGTGGAGTTCATTTGAGTACAGTGAACTCATTGTCATGTTCAAGAAACCAGTCTGAGATGATTCCAGCTTTATGACATGGTGCATTATCCTGCTGAAAGTAGCCATCAGAAGTTGGGTACATTGTGGTCATAAAGGGATGGACATGGTCAGCAACAATACTCAGGTAGGCTGTGGCGTTGCAACGATGCTCAATTGGTACCAAGGGGCCCAAAGAGTGCCAAGAAAATATTCCCCACACCATGACACCACCACCACCAGCCTGAACCGTTGATACAAGGCAGGATGGATCCATGCTTTCATGTTGTAGACGCCAAATTCTGACCCTACCATCCGAATGTCGCAGCAGAAATCGAGACTCATCAGACCAGGCAACGTTTTTCCAATCTTCTATTGTCCAATTTCGATGAGCTTGTGCAAATTGTAGCCTCAGTTTCCTGTTCTTAGCTGAAAGGAGTGGCACCCGGTGTGGTCTTCTGCTGCTGTAGCCCATCTGCCTCAAAGTTCGACGTACTGTGCGTTCAGAGATGCTCTTCTGCCCACCTTGGTTGTAACGGGTGGTTATTTGAGTCACTGTTGCCCTTCTATCAGCTCGAACCAGTCTGGCCATTCTCCTCTGACCTCTGGCATCAACAAGGCATTTCCGCCCACAGAACTGCCGCTCACTGGATGTTTTTTCTTTTTCGGACCATTCTCTGTAAACCCTAGAGATGGTTGTGCGTGAAAATCCCAGTAGATCAGCAGTTTCTGAAATACTCAGACCAGCCCTTCTGGCACCAACAATCATGCCACGTTCAAAGTCACTCATATCACCTTTCTTCCCCATACTGATGCTCGGTTTGAACTGCAGGAGATTGTCTTGACCATGTCTACATGCCTAAATGCACTGAGTTGCCACCATGTGATTGGCTGCTTAGAAATTAAGTGTTAACGAGCAGTTGGACAGGTGTACCTAATAAAGTGGCCGGTGAGTGTAAATGTGCTAGCAAAGCTCTTACACCCACCTCAATTGAAGTAATCCTTGTCTATTTTGCATACCCAAATGGAAAAGCAAATAACTTAGGAACTGTAAGTCCAAATTACCCAAGTAAAATATTATAATTAATTATTACCATTAGCCTTCTAGTTTCTGAAAATATAAAGATTTTTTTTTTTTTTATTAATAGGTCTTTTTTAATAAAGACATGCTTGAGAATAGCCATGTCTCATTGCATTACATTTGTTCTACATCATGTCAACCACAAATTCAGAAAATTTCAGACCTTTAGCTACAACAGTTCCAGAGCTGTGGGGCTTTTAACTTTTGGTGTCACCAGTGTCCCCAAATTTCAGCAAATTGTGCGAGCATTTTGATGGACACAAAACATTTATAAAGCAAGTATTGTTCCACTTTTTTCCAGAAACAGTGTATATAACAAAATGTAGAATTTATAAACCTGAAATAACTTAAAAATCTATTAAAAAATAGTGAGACTGGTGACTCTTTCATCATGAAAAAATATTATTTACGGATTACTTTTAATCTGTGGATCTTGTGGACCCTGTGGGTTTTGAGAGATAAAAAAAACATATCCAGATCTTAAAAACTAAACTTTCACACAACTGTTCTCCATTAATAAAAATGGTGCAAGGTTGTGCGATCAACATATTTTCATGGCTATCTTGGAAATAATATTTGTGAACCCATACAGAAAAAGTGTGGAAGCTTAGTAAAGAGCCAAGTACTGAGTAGTGAGTTTCTCTGTCCACTGGGACACTCAAACATAGAAAAAAACATATTCAAACCCAGTGCAATGAGTTTTGGGATCACTCAGGGTCATGGTACAATCTTCATTTCAGCACACATACACAATCACGTTTCTCCATCCTTGCTGACCCTTTCTTTTAACTTCCATTCATTTCTAATACATTTTTACTGCCTAACCGTGACCTTTACCCTAAATCTAACCATTACGGGTTCACACCAAATCCTAACCCCAACCTAAACTCAATTTACACAGTCCTGCACCTAAAACCTAACCCTAAAATAGCAGATGTACTGATGGGGACCAGGCATTGTTTCTCATTAGAATAGATGGTCCTCACGATGTGTTACGATTTATGGAAAATTGTCCCAAACAATGTCAAAGGAAACTGCCCACCCACAAATAATTGTTAAACTTTAAAATGGGCATTCACCTCGTTTGTCCTCTACCATGAAGGAGCAACAAATATAAAATGCTTAGGATATCCTTGGTCGTCACCAATCTTACAGCTCAGTGAATCTCCTGTTGAATCTCCCAAGGCTCTGAGCTGCTGCAGATGTGTAACTAAGACATACTTTCTTTTTTTTAAAAAGCTGCCAAATACAATCTCATAAACAGGCCTTTTCTCACATATATTGCCTTTTATGAGAACAAGACTTACATTTTCTTGGACGTGATGAGTGTCAGACCATACAGCCTTGGAATAGAAACCA